TGGAATACTTTAATTGTATTGTATCCAGATAAAGTCTGGATACTCATGCCTAACTAAAACATGATTTGATTTTGGTTTACTCAATAAACTTAATTTGATAAATTCTCACGGAACAATAATTCATGTTCTAGAAGATACAGTGGATAAGACCATGCATACTAAATCAAACCTAGCAAACAATAATATGGCTTTTTATGAACTGCAAGCTCAGTCATTGTTCAGTACTTTGTTTTTGGCTGTATTTTCTTGGTGAAGACAGGCAGATTTTATATGGTAGTACAACAGCATTCAAAAGAAATGCTTCACAAAGTGGATTAGGTGAGCAAAATAAAGCTTTTTTTTTTTTTAAAGCTTTATAACAACTTTGTTTTCTGGAAACCTGACACAACTATTCTTTCCATTTGTTTTCCTCAAGTACTACTATTACCAAACTCAGTTAAAAAAATATTGTTCAACTCATCTCAATTTTTTCAAAATAATTGTTTCTGCTGAAAACATAATCACTACAGAGAGTGATTAATTGGGCAGAACAAACCATTGGTTGCCCCCAAATACCACTGGATGACATTGCCAGGTCTCTCTGTTTCAGCAGAGTAAGGACGATACTTAGGGATGATTCACACCCTGGTCAGTGTCTGGCCAGCAGAGCTGGCTGGAGAATTCTGGGAGTTGAAGTCCACAAGTCTTAAAGTTGCCAAGTTTGAAGACCTCTGCCTTGGGAGGATCTCAGGGTTTCCATCCAGTCTCCTGGAAAGAAAAACAAACCTATCAAAATTTGTTTTATTTTTTTAAAAAGTGCTGTCTATTCCAAAACACAGCTTTTCCAAGCTGAATTTCAGCACTATATGGGGTTCTGCGTTACAGCCATGGAAGCTAAACGAGAAGCAAACACTTTCCTTAAGTAATCCAGTTAACTGGGTGTCAGGTTCGTCTTAACTACCATCCTAATTTAGAAGAGAGAAATGAAGACATGCTGAGGCAGCCGGGGGAAAAAAATATCCCTCCCGGCCTCCCCCTAAAATCCGCCGGGGAATCCCGATCCTTCACTCTCCCCTCAGCCCCGTCTTCCCCCCGCCCCAAGCTCTGCGAAGGCCATTTTCCCCATGAACGAGACGAGCCCGTGCAGGCTAGAGTGGCCAACCGGAAGCCCCCGGCCTTTTCTCCTGAATTGGAAGACGTCGTTTCCCCCGTCTAACAGTAGAGTCGGCTTGAAAAACCGGCTAGGCGGACCCTGCGCTCCGCGGAGGCCTGAGAGGTGGGGGGGAGAGAAAGCGGACGGAAACGGTGGGTGCGCGCGCAGCCTCGGTTCTCCGCTCGGTGCGGCGCGCGCCCCACCCACTCGCACCCCCCTCCCTTCCCTCCATCTCTCCGCATCTCTCCAACCCTGGTCGGCAGCAACCCGGGAAAGATCCTCTGAAAGTGCCAAGCCGGCATCTCGCAACCTTTAGCGCCGCTCCTCGCTTTTCTCGTGTTCAAAGTCCCCGCCTGCCTTATTTGTCCTCTCGGCATCCCTCCCGCCGCCTCTGTCTCCTGCTTTTTTTTTTTTTAACCGCGCCCGCCGCGAATGGATTTGCCCACCAGCCAGTGCAAAAAAGTCAAGCTGAGCAACAAAGTGCAGAGCTGGGTAGGNGCAACTGCCATTTTTCACATACAGTATATGGTACTATGATAGAACGTGATGATTTCCTCTCAGGATTTAGGACATAGTACCATATACTGTAGCCCCACTTTTCAGAGTTTAGGCAATGCGGTGCACACTGTCCCCGATGGACCTTGAGATTGGGCCACTGAAATTCAATAGAAATGAACCAATCTCTTGCAAATTTACTGAACTTTTTTGTGTTGCTGTCTGTGCAACCTTCTTCAAGTTGAGAGGTTAAAAATAAATGTTAAACACCTGTAAAATATTCAAATCTAAATCAAATTGCACCCCCCCCCAGACACAATCACACCAAAAGGATAGAAACATTTTCAACTTGTACTCTCTGGCGGGGGCCAGGCTGGATCTGCCTCTGCAAAAGGTCTGTTTATTTTATTAAAACAAGGGCAGTTGCCCAGCTGGAAAAAGCTTGCTTATGTCTGCTTTAACTCACAGCAATAGAATGTGCTAGCTATCCCATGTAGAAATGAAAGTTTTTCAAGATAGAACGAAGGCACTAAATTTAAAAAGTGGTCAATAAAGATTATACTTATACTTTATAATCTTGTCTAATGTATCTACTGCTGCGTTGTGATCAGCATTTGTTAGACACTTTTCTTAGGAATTTGGAGCCATTTTGTAAACCCCCTTTTTAATGACTCTTTTCTACATCTCATTTAACAGGACATTGTGTACTTGCTTGGTGAAATAACATAATCTTGGAAAGCATCTCACATTGATTTATGTCTACCTGAAATAGAAAATGCTGTCAAAACTGTTGCCCTGGGAGGAATAAAAGTAAATATAATTCCTTTGGCTCAGTTATCAGTAAATCAGTTATCTCGTTTTCAGGGGATCTTTTAAAAAAATCCCATGAAATTAAAATCAACTTGGAGTGGAATTTATAAACATTTGAAAACAAGCTAATTAAAATCTTTTAAAAAAAATCCTTGAAGAAAAATATTTCTGTTTCTCACACTCACACACCCAGATACAAACAGGATTAAATTGTGAGAAGGTTTTGATAAAGCAGCCTAGCTGTGTATTATGGAGTTAAAGTCCATTTTTTTTAAAGTATCAGCCTGGGAAAGGATATTTATATCTGCAAATATATTATAGCATCCCAGCTGTTCAGTGTGAAGTTTACCCTCCCTCCTGATGTCTCTTCAATATGGTTCTTCACAAAATGTCCTGGACAGAGGTGGGTTTCTGCCGGTTCGCCTCAGACCTGGTGGACTGATAGTGGCGGTGGCGGGAAGCTGCAGACGATGTTTCTGAATGTGCGAGCATGCATGCATGAGTGAACAGGTAGAAAAATAAGTTGAAACCTCCACTGGTCCTGGAACTCTTAAGATTCTAAGTTTTTTGACTTACATTTTAAACCTAGTAACATGAACGTAAATTACAGTCTGTTTGACTAACATATCGAGCCACTAGTTACTCAAGCATAGATCAGCTCAGCATATTATGTGAACCAAGTCTGTGGTTAGTTTGACTGACTGTACTTTATGAATCCTTAAAACTGGATAAGGTAACTGATCCAAGGTTACTTTAACTACGGCAAAAGGTACAAATATTTATTTATTTAATACATTTATATGCCCCCCATCTTTCTTCTCAAGAGACTCTGGATGGCTTACAGTGTAAAATATCAATATAAAATAATTAGAACATTAAAAGCATTAAAATATTGAGCATTAAAAGTTAAAACCCTAAAATTAACAATAAACTGGATTAAAAGTCTACAAAAACAGAGGGAAGGTGAGATTGTCTTCTCATTTACTAATCACTTCCAAAATGGGACATCCTCTCTGAGGCAGCAAGCTAGTTGACAGAGCTAGGTTTTCAGGCCCTTTCAGAAGGCCAAGAAGATGAGGGAAGATCACACCTTGAGGGGCCACGATGCTCCATAAGGAAGGAGCCATGGCAGAAAAGACTCTTCTCCTGGCTCCATCAACCAAAATTCCTTGGTTGACAGGGTCTCTTCCGCCACAGGACGTGAGTGGGCCAATTCCATTGGGGTGAGATAGTTCCTCAAGTACACTTGACCCATGCCATGAAGCGCTTTAAGTGGACAGCCAACAGCCTGAACTGGACCTGGAAACGAAGTGGCTACCAGTGCAATTCATGTTGTAATGTGGGCCACCTCAGGTGCTCCTAAAACTGTCTGCACTGCTGCATTCTGTGCCAGTTGTAACTTTGGAATACTTTTCAAGGATAGCCCCATGTAGAGTGCACTGCAGTAGGGCATGAGTGAGTGCAGG